AGTATAATTTAATTTGATCAGAAATTATTACAATCAGACGCACTGTAAAATATTATACAAATTGTTTAACCAAGTGGAATTGATTCAATGATGATGACAATATGTAGCACAGAGCAGGGTCTCAATCTTTCAGTAATTTACACAGCGAGAAAATTAAAAACACGAAATATAGTATAATCTTGAAGCCCGACAGTCAACAAGACTTTGTACGGAGAGAGTTCGGTAGGTCCGAGAAATATAGGGCCGAGTAAGTGGATCCATCGCACGTGCAACGAACGCAGTATCGTACGCAGGATGCTGGCGGCTTTATTTTTGGTGGTGGAGGTTCAGGTGGCTCTGGGCAAGGACGTGATAGGCAATTAACGACGTACAACGCGGGTGGTTTCGGCGATTCTGGACGTTGCCGGCATATCTAGAAATGAAACAGAACTTTCGTCACTGAAAAATTTAATTTACAAGGAGTTCATTCAGCAAGTGACCTTGACCTTGTACCACCAAGGAAAAAAACGAAGTTTCGCGAAATATATATTAGAGTATGAGAAGGACAACTTGACCTTGAGCCATCGAGGAAAGGAACGAAGTTTCGCGAAATATCTATTATAGTATGAGAAGTTTAACTTGACTTGACCTTGAGCCATTGAGGAAAGGAACAAAGTTTCGCGAAATATGTATTATAGTACGAGAAGGTTAACTTGATTTGATCTTGAGCCATCGAGGAAAGAAACGAAGTTTCGCGAAATATCTATTATAGTAGGAGAAGATTAACTTGACCTTGAGTCATCTAGGAAAGGAACAAAGTTCCGCAAAATATCTATTATAGTATGAGAAGGTTAACTTGACCTTGAGCCATCGAGGAAAGAAACGAAGTTTCGCGAAATATCTATTATAGTATGAGAAGGTTAACTTGATTTGATCTTGAGCCATCGAAGAAAGGAACGAAGTTTTGCGAAATATCTATTATAGTATGAGAAGGTTAGCTTGACTTAACCTTGAACAATCGAGGAAAGAAACGAAGTTTCGCGAAATATCTATTATAGTATGAGAAGGTTACCTTGACTTAACCTTGAACAATCGAGGAAAGGAACGAAGTTTCGCGAAATATCTATTATAGTATGAGCAGTTTAATTTGACTTGACCTTGAGCCATCGAAGAAAGGAACGAAGTTTCGCAAAATATCTATTATAGTATGAGAAGGTTACCTTCACTTGACCTTGAACAATCGAGGAAAGAAACGAAGTTTCGCGAAATATCTATTATAGTATGAGAAGGTTAACTTGATTTGACCTTGAGCCATCGAGAAAAGGAACGAAGTTTCGCGAAATATGTATCACAGTATGAGAAGGTTAACTCGACTTGACCTTAAGTCATTGAGAAAAGAAACGAAATTTCGCGAAATATCTATTATAGTATTAGAAGGTTAACTTGATCTTGAGCCATCGAGGAAAGAAACGAAGTTTCGCGAAATATGTATTATAGTACGAGAAGGTTAAGGCTAGCAATTTGGAAGTTATTTTAAAACGTACGAAAGGTGGACAACACGGAGGAGGACAACATTTTGGAGGTGTTGGATATTGTTGAGGAGGTGGACAACCGTATTTTGGGCAATAAAATGGCGGAGGCTTGCAGTGATGACACGGTGGTGGTAGAGTGCTGTTACGCCTTTTTTCTTCGTGACATGGCATTTTTATTTATTTCTACGGAGATCTGGAGCAGCGTTTGATAGAAAAATATATATCAAATAAATAGCATCTTCTCAGTTATAAATTGTTCGATCGACGATGGAAGACTTCGTGAAAACTTTGAAATTTCAACCGGCAGAAATCACGAGAAATTTCGAAAGGATTTTCTCTAGTATAACGATAATTTATATACGTTTGTCCTCCTATCGATTACGTTTCTTCTTTTTGTTTTTAAAGTCGAACATATTCACGCGGCTTGCCTGCTTGCTTGACTTTACCGAGAGCAACGAACTACAGAATCTTTCTTTCCACTCTCTTTCTAATTTTTTTTTTTTTAATTTAATTTAATTCTTTGCGCATTCGTTACAAGAATAAACAAGGAGAGAAAGCCACAAAGTCGTGTAGATCGTTCTTCGTTCTTGTATTCAAAAGTTTTACGCTTGAAAAGAAAAATACAAAAGATATAAAATACGCGGGCAGAGTTACTCTCTACGCATAACAAGTGGATGATTTATTAAAAATATAAACAAATTGGCCTTTCAATTGGCGGGAATCGAACAATCTCGCGGTTATTTTCGTTGGTTGGTGGGCAGCATATCGGTCGGTGGATAATAGCAGCGTGAATACTTCGGTCTGTGAAAAAGAATTTGCAATATTATCGTATACATACACATGCACACGTGTTTTTATATTTAATATCCCATCGACGTACCCGTCGCAAGTGTACGTAACTTGAAAACGAACCGAGGACGTGCCACTGATCGGCAGCTGAATGTTTGGACACGGTGGACACGTTGGGAAACAGGTTTTCCTCGATTCGCAACGCGAAGGGTGGCTGGGTGGATATTTGGATAATGCATCTTCCAACGTCGTCGACATTTTCTCGTCCACTCGATCTTGACTGTTCCTCCCGGACGACGAATTTGCAAATT